CCATCCTGGCGAAATCAATAGGATGACTCATTTGATCAGATCTGTGGCAATTTAGAATAGCTGAAGATCTGACTCACGTATATAGGAATACTCTAATTATAATCAGGCCATTAACGAAAAGGTGTGGGTGATATTTCTAACATATTGCTTACTTACGAGCTGTACAGAGCAACCAGTCAGCAACAGAAAATATGATCTCATTTATATTGTCTTTTTTAAAGCTTCTAACAATGTGGCCAAAACTGAGATAAGAAAAGTTAAGCACTTACTGTGATTTCCTCTTACAAAAAACAAATGTAAAATGATTTCATCAGTGCCAGATACTAGACCTGCCTATAACCAGAGGGCAGTATTTTTTTAATAACTTCCTAAAATGTGCATCTATATAAAAGCGTAGTGTAACAAAAAAAAATCCAGTACAAAAGGTAATAAAATATAATCTATTATCTCAGCTCATTTTGGTCAGGAAATAATACCACAAACTTACTATAATACATGGAAGCTTTATGAAAAGCAGGCAGACAGAGGCTTATAGTTTTATCCACTTTCAGGCGTGAGGCTGAGTGATTAATAAGTGACACTGAAAAGTACAGAATGAAAATCATATGGAATTTAGGGGAAGGAAATAGCTTACAAATCAAACTGTCATGCTGCTAGACTGCATAGGAGGAGCTGTGACTGCACAGCAAACCCCTCTCTTCCATCCCATACAGCAAAGGAAAAGCCAGTTAACAAAACGGATGTCGCTGAAGTGGATTTCAGAATCACCTCCTGTTTCCCCAGGGCCTTCTGCCTTGTCCCTTTTGTTTGCCATCCTATTTGCATTAGGAGTGGGAGAGGTCAAGAAAAGATGGGGAAGAGACACATGGAAACTATGAAAGGGAGAGAGAAAAAAATATCCAGAGGAGGATCTGAGACAGAGGAGCAGGTTGGGGGGTTTGAGTAATTGGAAAAGGAAGATATCCCCTAGCAGGAATAGATTAAATAAAATGTAGAGACTGCAGCAGTGGGACTACACTTTTAACTGTGTATTATAATAAATAATGGGCCTCCAACATGTATCATGTTCTTGGCTTCAAATGTTCCAAATGTTTTTGGCTTCTTTTTCAATAATAGGACCAGATCCTTAGATGAAATTCAAACCTGATCTCCATTCATTGCTTCTGGGCTAAGGGCTGTAGGACCAAGTTCTAAATAGACAGTGATGACAGTTAATTAGGATAACCAGAATAATTGTACTTAGTATGTCCTACTGTTTCTATGCAAATCTTCCAGTAGAACTCTGTTTTATTCCTCTGTACATGTGTTTCTCAGATTCAGTGATCCTGCTTCTCCTCTGTACACTATTGGTACTGGTTTCCATCACCTAGTATATCTCAGCCATGTCTAAACTAGCATTCATGCTGCTACTCATACAAGTGCAGCTCCATGTAGGCGAATCCCAACACACATGCATGTGTGGTTTGTGGCACTGCAGACCCATCTCCGGCGCCACAAACTGCACGCATTGCACATGTAGGCATTCGCCACTCTGCTAATTTGCAGTGCAGCAGGTTTTTTTGACACTGGGAAATCCTGATGTCAAAAATCCCATGCCAGAATAAAGCAGGGCGGTGCATTTAGTGCATTTCATGCACTGCCTGAAACCAGAGCCTGGCTGGCCAGAGCCACACTTCAGCTGCCATCCAGGCTGTGCACACCTGGAATCACTGCTGCTGGAGCCCCAAGAAGCCCCCAGGATCCCAAATAAGGCTGCTGGGGCCAACCCAGGTGCTGGGGCCAGCCCTGTGGCCAGCCAGAGCATGCACCCAGGGACAACTAGCAACTGCACAAATATAGGAAGGCCAACTGCACCTTGTCGTGCATCCACAGATGCATCTCGAGCAGGTCCAAGGAGGTGATCCTCCCCCTCTATGCGGCACTGGTCAGGCCGCAGCTGGAGTACTGCGTCCAGTTCTGGGCGCCGCACTTCAAGAGGGATGTGGACAGCATCAAGAGGGTCCAGAGGAGGGCCACTCATATGATCAAGGGACAGCAGGGTAGGTCCTATGAGGAAAGGTTGCGGGACCTGAACCTGTTCAGCCTTCAAAAGAGAAGGCTGAGGGGGGATCTTGTGGCCTGTTATAAACTGGTTAGGGGGGATCAGCAGGCGCTGGGGGAGTCCCTGTTCCCCCGAGCGCCGCAAGGAGTGACCAGGAACAATGGTCACAAGCTGGCGGAGGGAAGGTTTAAGTTGGACATCGGGAGGCGCTACTTCACGGTCAGGGCGGCTAGGATCTGGAACCAACTTCCAAGTGAGGTGGTGCAGGCTCCCACCCTGGGGGTTTTCATTTGACCCCAGTGCTCTTCCTGCCATGGCAGGGGGTCAGACTAGATGATCTGCTCAGGTCCCTTCCGACCCTAGAAACTATGAAACTATGAAACTATGTTCCACTACTGTTTGTTCCCGGGGAATGCATGTTTCTGCTCATTGGGATGGCCATGTGCCCCAAAGGACAGCTTTCCAGGTATTGCTTTTCTATCAGCCATAATGTTTTGATGTCAGTTTAAGGGCCTTGTTGCATGTTGCACTTTAAGCTGCTCATCTGTTGATCTGTGTTAGACGCAATCACACATTCAAGCCAGTAAGGGCCTTGAGGACTGAAAGGTAAGAAATCCACTGCCCCACTCCCATTCTAGGCTTCCCCCATTTCCCCTACTTCCCAAGGCTCCCCCTGCTCCCCCCTCCACAACCTCTGGGGCTAACCCCTCTGACCCTCTTTCTACCCCTCCCCAGCTTACTTGTGCCAGACTGTCTGGTGAAGCAGGCAAGGAAGGGGACAAGGGCAGGTGAATAGGGATCTGCGGTTCGGGGGTAGGGGGCCATGGGCCCAATCTGGGAGGGTGGGGGCAGTGGCCCAATCAGGGCTGCTGAGGGACGGGGGTAGGGGTCAGCAGGCCAATCAAGGAGGGGCAATGAGCCCAATCCAGGCCAGCAAGGGGCAGGCGAGTGGGGTGTTCACACTAATGTGAAGCCTAGAGTGGCTATACATTAGGTAACACAAACTGAGCAACACAGATCAGAGATAATCCTCAGATGGAGTGACGTAACTTAAATCTGCCTAAAGAGTGCTTAAAACTGGTCTCATGTGTTAATGTGTGGACAATCTGGGGGTTAAGAGCTCTAGAAGCTTCCTAAAATTAACATGTAACAAGGCCCTAACTGTTAACAGCATGATATGACCCAGGTAACCAGCTGAGATCAAAGCACACCATCCCGGCTACAAAAATAAGACCACTCCCATTTTTTCACAGACCACATGAAAATGAATCACAGATACAAATGTCTAATCACTAACATTATCCATACATAAATTTGCACTACTTGGTGAATCAATGGGAAAAAATTAACAATTCTATCATGTTTAACAAAACTGCCAGTAGATTTCAGCACTACCATGAGTTCCGATTCCTTTTGCCTGTAGATGAATATGGCTACAACCTGTATCCCAGTAAGAAATCAACCATTCTGGAAAGCTGAACCAATCTGGTCTCAGCTGTTATAAAGATCAATGAAACCAGTTAATATTCAATTTTGGTTTTTTATCAGTTACAGTTTTGACAGACTTCTGTATTCAAAGTAATACTCATCTCCTGAGTTACTGGAAAATAATCATAACAAAACTGTACTTCTAAATGAGTCTGTGTTGTCTGTACTTTCAGTTTTGCTGAAGTGCTTGTGTTCAGCAGTTTTTGCTGCATGCTTGGAGAAGTAAATGCACTTGGACTGCCAACAGTATATCTGATACAATATCCCAAACCTCTACAGCAAGGAATTGAACAAAGGCTCACAGTAATATAAGCCCAGTTCTAGAACCGTTGAGTCAGGCACTTTTTTCTTCCGTCTTACAACTCTTCTTCCTGACCCTGCTTTTCTGTTTAAACTTAAAGGGGGAATTTTCATTGACCTTTCTAGAAGTGGGGTCAGATGTCATCATATTGAATTCTACATTTAATAATGAAAGCATAAAAAGCACTTTTACAGCGCTTAGTAAAAGTTTGGGATCTGCTCAATGAGAGTGAGAAAATAACAGTTACTGGATGTGTCTCAACATTCATTATTTAATGCACCTGTAATGACAGGTACAAACTCAATGCGTTGTAATCAGCGCTACTGCGCATTCGTGCAAACAAATGGTCTTTTTGTGACATTAATATGCAGTAGACTAAATCAACTGCACATTAGCGCATTAGCATGGGCTTTGGCACCGTACTGATGTGCAATAGAATTAGTCTACTGTGCTCAAAACGTCTTGTGTACACCCGTCCATTATGTAGTATGGTTTGTTAGGATGTGGAGTAAAACCTGTCCTACTCAGCTGCAGTCTCACAGGTTTGGGCTGTTTAATGGCTACGAGTAGAACTGATTTGAAATATTTAAATGAAACTGTTTCTTGACAGAAAATACCAATTCACTGAATCAAAACTGCCCCCAGGAAGGGATCAGTTTTGATAAAGGCCCTGTTTGGAAGACAGCTCAAAAATTGTATAGATGTCATCTGTCAGATTATTTCAGCATATATAAAATGAAAAAGTTCTGTGTACTTTTGCATTGTAACAACTTACCATTCAGAAATTTAAGCTAACTAACAGCAAAACATTTTTTTTAATGGTCAAAATTGGAGTGAGGCACTTTAAAGATTCTGAAACAAAACATTTTGATGGACAAACTGGTTTTGTTTTTTACTTGATTGTTGATTAACGTTTTTGGAGTTTGAAATTTTTGTCCCAGATTCAGATGGGAAACATTAAAAAAATTATTTCAGGGATAGAATTTTAGGGCCAACTAGCACTATAGCTGTACCCAAAATAACAGACTTCTGCCAGCAAAATTCCCATTAACCCCAGTGGTAAAGAGAGAATTAAGTTTTAACATTTTCATGGTCACATTGGTTAAGTTATTGTGAAATATGATAATCTTGCAAATTAAGGTAGAAAGCAATTTCTGTACTATTTCTTACCTTTAGTCTTTCTGTTACTCCATCAGTGAAACTGACTGTGAACTCAGCAATTTTAGGCACCCTGAGTTTGCCTTTGTTCTTCTGGTCAGGCTGATATTCTGTTCTTGTTTTCACAATCACCTGAAAAAAATGTCAACATTTTACATTTCTGCTCAAAGCAAGCCCATCTTTCTCCTCTCAGAAATGTAGCTTTTCTATATTCACCTTTATTGAACCACCTCAGAGGTATTACAACCATTAATTTAACACAGTCTGAGGACACTGAGGCTGTCATCTTCACAATTAAAAAACTGCCCACAAAATCACTTATAACGCAATCACTGACATAGGCATATTTTGAAAACTGGCAGCTTTTGAGAAAAATACCAAACCAACCTATCAAAATACCAAAAACCCATGTAGGGAACAAAATGTTGGTATTCTGAGGAATCTGGCCCTTTAAACCATGGAATTTTCTCAGATATCCCTAAAATAACTATTAGAAGACAATACATTATATTGAAAATGGTCTAAAAACCTCAGGGCTTCATGCTCCCCAAGTTGCTGGAGAGCCAGTTGATCACAATACAGTACATTGGAAAATACCTGAGGAACAATTCATCCATGTCTAAAAAGGCCCCCTGAAGAAGCACCAAAGTCTCCAAGCTCATGATATTACATAATATGTGGTACATCATAGAGCCACCTCTGAACACCCTACCTAACACATCTACTTTTTTGCCATGTGGGAAAAACTCTAATGGAGGCAGTGTGTATTTGTGTAAGTTGTGTGTTCAAAACAAATACAGACCTCAGGTTTGGGCCCAAAGAGAACCAAAAATTGACAGGATGCCACAGGATTTGGCTCCAATTCTCCTATTTTCCTCCTAGCCCTTTTTAAAGCCTGTGCTATAAATTATGGAGTATTGCCCATTAGCACCTGCTAACCAGTGCTCAGAAAATGCATTCATGTTCTATTTTTAAACCAAGCAAGCACAATACCCAGATACCTTCTGCTCTGCAGTTTCCAGCTGCATATATTTTCCCTATCTAATTGCAGAAAGCAATGCAGGAGTAGTGGTACAGTGTTCATGTTCTCCCTGCAATGTCTGATTTATTTCCAATTCAATCTCTTTGACTTCTTTCAAATTCATTTATCTTGTTTAATGGAGACCTTGGGTGTAGATTAATTCCTTAAATATATGTAAGATGGTTTTCCCATATGCTCTGACACTAGACCCAACGATGGGCTCTGTGACTATGAAATAAAATATTAAGAGCCTTATTTGTATCTAGATATAATTTGTATTTTCTCCTGTCATTGATGGTTTTTTCTGACATTATTGCCTCCTCTCTGAGTTCAGCCAAGGTCCTGTGTATAGCGAAGAACAAGCTGTTCTAGCCACAACCAGGGATCTGGTTTAAGAGTGACAATAAACCTACCCAGGCCCACTGTATGTAGTGGCCCAAGGAATAGTCCATTACAATTCTGTATTATTGTCCTTGAGGGGGGGAAATCCCCAGTCCTCAATTATTAAGAAAACTACCTGAGACTGCTTACTGATCACACTAGCAGCCAGCCTTCTGTGTATGCAGGCCCATATTAATCATTCCACCTGTCCTTGTTTGATCAAGTAATTTGCAAGGGCATAAAGCACTGTCATAGAGGAGCCGAGGAGAGCCTTGCAAAGTATGTCACAGTGCATCTGCTCTCCAGTTTCTTAATCAGAGATTTGCTGGAATGACTCAACAGAAAAAAAGCGAGAGACCATCAGCAAGGTCTTCTTCTCAAGGGATATTGTTGATAACAAGGAAATAAAATGAGTGAACATAAACAGGAAAAGAAATTGAAAACTCCCCGAAGTGGGGGGTCAAATCCATCAGATGATGATGCCTGCAGTAGTGCAAGGCATAGAAAAGGACCCCATTTTTTGCTAGGTTCTGTACAAGTAGCAAATGCAAAAAGATGATCATTGTCCCACAGAACTTACAATAAATGAGACTGTGGATCATCATAACGGTATCCTGGCCCCTCTGACTCCAAGCTGCCACCCACGCAAGGGGTTCTGGGACTGTGGTAAACCCCTTGTTTACCAAAGGCCCGCTACTGCCCTCTGACATTTCAAGCATTTCAGAAAAGGTTAGTTTAGTAGTATACC